TGCAATTATATGCAAAGGGCTCGGCGGATTTACGGCATTATGTTATGTATTTCTTTCCACCTGAAACTACCATAGGACAATATTGTCTCAATCACTTATTGCCTGGTATTAATCAAACTTTATTTCAAGACAGTTTGATAATATTTACATAGAACGTATTTCAGTCTAGTAGCTTAATATCTGTGCTGGTGGACGGTGCTGAGACTCGGTGTGTCCGTGATCTGAGGTATCAACGCTCTATTTTAAAACTTTGAAGAGGAATTCATTGTTAACTTATATATATATAAACGAAATCGAAAAGTCAAATAAACAGCAGAAGCAATGAACATATGGTAGTTTATTGAATAATTATTAAGTGATCTTATTCCAAATTAAATAATTATGTAATAAATAATTAATTATTAATTATAATATTATTACACTTCCTTTCCTCAGTGATCGGTATTTTTATTCAATGTAATTGTTTATTGTAATATTAATCAATAATCAAATAGATTAAGTTTAATTCCGTTGTAATAAATAACTTGTCTAAAGGTATGGTCCACTTGTGAATAGCTTCTGTATATTATTCTCAATTGACCACTGACAAGAATATATAACACAATAAATAATTTAACCTTTATAATTATGTTTAATAAATTAATTGATAAACTTCTCCTACCTTCGGCCTCCCACTCAAATGCCGTTTCGGGAAGTCATTTGCTATTTATTCTTTTCATATGCCTATACCACATTGATCTTCTTTCTTCCTTTATCTCTAGAATATTATTCTTAAATTCCATTCTTTCCCTAATGGTCTCATTTCTGATTCTTTGCGTCCTAGAGATTCTAGCCGACCTCCTCCACCATCTCCAATGCTAGAAGGAATCTTTTGCTCTGTGATTTCTCGAGTGGTCACGTTCCCGAACTATAGAACACTACGGTCTCTACCTGTGCCTTATGTACTAACTTCTTTACTTTTGTATAAAGTACAGAAACTAATATGTAAAAAAAATAAATCTTTCCGCCCGTTTATCACTCTTTTTCAACATCTGTTTTCGCGCTTCCATTGATTTCCATTAAGATTTGAGCCAAAGTTGCAAAATCGGTGTACCCTACAATGCTTTTTCAGAAATGGCCCACTCAACTCTGTCGACATATATTTTGTTTTATCATAATTAATATTCAGGTCCCATTGTTCATACTGTTGTTCGGTTAATTTTCTAAACATATACCCGATAACAAATTCATCCTGCGCTATTATCACTTGGTCATCAGTGAATAGTAGGCCACTGGCCATTTTGCCACTTGAAAAATTATTACGGAAATTCAATTTCTTTTCCTTTCTACTTTATTTACGAAAATCCATCATTAGTATTAAGTACCACCTCATTTTGCCTGTGATACAGCCTCACAACGACGAGACATGTCCGTGTAATATTTCGGATGTGATCTTGAGAAATTTGCTGCCACTCTTCGTGTAATACCGCTTTTAAGTTATATTCTGCGGCTGGCCAAATCGTTCCTTAACACGACATCCAAGGTGGTCCTATGTGTGCCAATCGGATTGATGTCATGACTAAGCATTGTGTTTTCTAAAAACTTCACGGCGATCCTGACTGTATGTGCAAGAGTTTTGTCTTGCATTTGAATAGAACTCTCACCCAGCTTCAGCTGCAATTGCCGGAGGAGCAACCTGAGGTCTTAATACCTCATTTATGTAACGATGAGCTGTCAGAGAACCATTCCGTACAACAATTAAATCAGTTTTTACTTTCATGTGAACTTTCATGTTGGCGTTTGAGTAGCGTCCGTTTATTTTCCTCCATATTCGATCACGTCCATCATTTGAGTGTCTCACTGTCTCATATCCCAAAGTATATGAGGATTTTGTGACGCCTAGTTAAAATTGAAACTTTTTAAGGAACACTTAAAGTCATCTGCACCTCCCCTAGTATATTTATCCCCGTCTGATCCAAAATACTTACTCTAGTAACACATTCCATTGAGAAAGTTCCGAGCAGTTGAAAATCGTTCATACATTACCTGGAGTCTTAAAAATCTGTCTTCTCTTGCATTTGTTATTCTTCTACCACCTTTTCCAGGACGTCTAGTAAGGCGTACTGTCACTAAACAGCGTTGCTACAACCTCCAGATCATAGCCTGTGAAACACCCAATCAGATTCCAACTTGACGCTGAGAATGTCCTTTCTACAGCTGAGTGTCAGCTCTAGACATTTAAACTTCTTTAATATTCCTTCTTTAAACTCTATTCGCATTCATTATTTATGAAAAAAATAAAAATTGATTAATAATCACGGTTTGAAAAAAGAAAGTGAATCGAGTCTTTTTAGAGTTTATTATAGAAATGATCTTCACCAAGAATATTTCCACGTAAATAAATAAACATGCGGTCTAAATCATTAGCCAACCTTTGTTTACTTTGTGTCAATATCAACATTGAAATCAATTAAACAATGAAATTAGAACTCAAAAACAATATGACTCTTTAATTTATAAATAAATTTGTACAACGTAGAATTTATAAAATATCATATAATTGAATTAAGCAATTATCTCAATTGAAATAAATTTTAATTTTAACTGGATTCATTTCTCCTCTTTTCATGGAAGTATCAAGTAATTTGATTTCTTGTAAAAGTAAATTATTTTGTATATCCATTTAGCAATTAATAATTTTGTATATTCCCTCAATTAAATTTATGTAAATAATTTCCCGATCATCAGAATTTTAATTTAATCAATTTTAGTTGTATTTCGCGTAAATATACAATTAAAAAAAATTATATACATAAACACATTTTACTTAATATTAACTTACTTATATTATGTTGTTTAATCACTAATCAATTTATCTGCAATTTAATAGCTTCTGTTGCCGTATAGCATAGAATATTTATTGTAACTTTGTAAAGAGCTTTTTTATATCTATTAATTGGTTACCTGGAAGAAATCTTTTTTTTTTTTTTTTTCTGTTTTATACGTATGTGAAACTGTTCTATCAAGTAATATTACATCCGTTCTCAATAAATAAAATTAATAGTTGTGTGTCTAAAATTTATTTTCACCATCCTAATGGAAAATATAAATGAGATAAATTAAATTTTAAAAAATAATTAAATAAGATTAAAAATGAATAAAGTTTAATTTCATATAATATACTTATCTTACATATTTATATAACGATGAATAGCGAATGACTACACAGAAAGGTATTTAAGTGGGAGTCCGAGGTTAGGAGAACGAGATGAAGTCTTCGTGTGAAGAGAGATGTGGCTGAGAGTATGATGGGACGAAGGCTGACGGAGGAGCGATGGGCAGGGAGAAGTGGAAGACCGACTGAGAAAGGAGCTTGGCTGATAGAAACTTCAATTTATGAAGAAAATATCCTAAAATAATATATATATTTGTAAACCTGCTTTTATAGACTATTTAATTAATAGTCATTTCTAGGCACCATATACTAGACATTGATCAGGCAAGAAAATCCTGAACTAAGCTTGTCCCTCCTCCTCTGGAAGTAAAAGCAGGACCTTAGGAGATCCCAGCGCTGATTCACATGTTTGTAGTGGATAATTAAGCCATTTCTGGAACTCCGATTCATATAAATGATCGCGGGCCCACAACCATTTCAACATTCGAGGTTGATTTTAGGGTTGCGTAGATAGGTATTGTGTTGGTTAATGTGTCTGTAAAATTTTGAGAATTTTATTGGGAAAAAGTCTAGAACAACTGGGATGTGCTAGGTCATAATGTTGGTTACTGGTACTGGAGGGGGAACTAGTCTGGCAAGTGGGTCACATTTTTTTTTTTTTTGACAAGCCTCGACGGCTACCTAGAGGTTGCGGCCACGCTTAGTAACATAGATGGGATGCGTTTAATGTTGATGACAAATTTTGCTGCCACAATCCACAATCCGAGCCTTTAGGTCTAGATAGATTTAAGAATTGTCTTGAATAATTTGTTTGAAATGGAAAGTCTTTCAAGTCTTCAGTTAGAGATCTGACTGTTTCAGAGAAGGCAATAGGTATGGAGTAGTCATTGAAGTGCAGTAGACATTGAACAGAATCTGCTTTGAAGAACGAAGGGGACATTTTTGGATTTTTTTTTAACGCCGGAATAATCAACCAAACATTGTTCAGTCAGGGAAAGGTTGCTTAATATATGATATAGCTTTACCTTTTTTCTTTTTGTTCTTCCTTCCTTGCCTTTTTAGGGTATTTTATAGGGTGATGGCGGGGATTAATGCAAGAGTTAAAAGCTCCCCTCCTCTTCGGCACCAAGACGCGAACTCGTAATCGTGTTATTAAATAATCTTCCATCTGGTTGCCGGGTAACGCGGTGTTGTGCACTCGCGGCAGCTTGCTCGCCTACCTCGCTCTCTCCCAAGAGTTTTATCAACTTATTAAAAAAATTTCACTCTGCCAATGTTCTTTATTTTTTTAGACTATGAATAGTTACTCGCACATTGCCAGATTAACTAACTTGCCAACCAAATTGAGTAAGAAACAAATTATTTATTATACTCAGTAGGTTGTTATTAAATACTTTTCTAGCATCATGGATGCGGTTTCCAAATTTATAAATCACTCTATCACAAGAATGTAAATAATACCATTAAAAAGCCAATTTACGAATGAGGATCTTGTGGAGATATTTTTGATGATGAATAAAAATATACAGATTACTTGTATTTTTTTGTTATAAAATATTTTTAGGAAAAATCCACCAGCATCGCCATACCATTACACGGGATATTATTTCAGGCAATGATTTGGTTATAGGTTTTTATTCATTCGGTCAAACACCGTGAGAAGAGGTTTCGACATTTTTTACTGTACCGTTATAATTCTTCTCAAAATGGAATGAATGACTATTGATACATTTGCTTAACCCAGTTTCTATAGTAACGCAATTTTATAAAATTTCAAAATATATTGGTATTACTATTGCATTATTAGGAATTTTCATTTATTAAAATATGAAGAAATAAATGTAAAAATAAGAATGAATATCTTTTATATTTAAACATTTGTTTGCATAATTTTTAACTTTGAACGATTTTATTTTTTTCAACATTGAACAATGTTGGAACATATGCTATCGTTGAAGAAAAATAAATAATATTCGGTTGTTAAGCGTTAAATGTCGTACTAAAATTTTATTTAAAAAATTTTGATAATCATCAGTGGTCATATCATCTTATTGATATAAGATAAAATGGTACGTGGATGCGAAGACAGCTGCCGATGTAAGAGGTGCGAACTGAGGTTGGACGGTAGGCAGAATGCATCATTTCGATACGACAGGCTACCTTCACTCACACCACCAAAACCGAAGGAAGAACCTTGTCTAGAAGAGAAACCTAGTCCTACCGAGGTACCAGCAGAAGTAGAAGTCGAGCCTACTGTAGAACCGAAGCCGATGGGCACAGAGATGGAAGAACTGGAATTGTTCAAGATGTACGACGTGATGAGGACGACGAACCAGGAATACGGCCTCTGGATGTTCGACCCGTACCTCCGAGATAAGGACTGGTTCAAGACGAAACGGTACCCTCTGAAATCATCGTACCTTACCAGGCATTACCACGAAGCAGTAACAGGCACGCATTTGTGAGCGTAATACAACGCATTTTCTCATTTTGCTATAATTTAGTAAAGAATCAATGATTACTTTATTCGTAATAAATCCAATATCACTATATCGTATATTTTTTTAAAATTTGAAATAGTTAGACGTTGTAATATAATTTTTATGTATAAGTTTGGAGAGAAAAAAATGCTGTTTCGAGAAAAAATTAACTTTATGTTTAAAATAATTGTACAATACAATAACATCATTTTCATAAATTTAAATTATCATTTGATATTAACGGATGATAGCATCAGACTCCAAAAGCGTCATGGCAGCAATAGGTAACCCATGGCCAAGCAATTCAATAATAAGAGATATATTGAATCTATGGTGGGAATTTAGAAAAAGAACGGTCAAAGTGATATTTGTCTGGATTCCATCTCATAGTGGTATCTCAGACAATGAAAGAGCAAACCATAATTTCAATAAATTATACCACAGTAGAAGACTGGGTACACGCAACAAAAAAGAAGTTGTTGGAAAATTGGGTAAATAGATGGAAAAATAAACAATCAAAATTATTGGAAATAAAAACAGACTGCAACAAGTGGGCTAGTAGCACAAGAATATCCGGAAGAGAAGAAACCATATTGTGTAGAATAACGAATAGGTCACTGCCTGTTTACTCACGGATACCTTCTCAGAGGTCTAGAACCACCCACATGCCAAAAGTGTGACAATAAACTGCAGTCAGTAAAACATCTGTTAGTAGAGTGCCACGAGTTCAACAACATTCGGCAAAAATTGAAACTACCAACAACAATGAAAGAAATATTAAGAGACAACGAAGATGGAGTCACCACCCTATTCCAATACTTAATAGAGACGAAATATTACAATAGAGTATAAGAAACTAGCCACCAATGACCCTCTAGGGTAGAGGCGATTACAAATAAAAAAAAACAAAAACATTATTTGGATAAAACGGTCAAAAAAGCTATTGATGGATTATTTTTTAAACAATATTAAGTTTAATCAAATTCCTTTAAAAAAAAAAAACATTTCGAAATTAAAGTTATTTTATGCCACTTTTTTTTTTAATGTAAAGTTCATTTTTGAAAAAATAAATAAATACCTAATGGGATGCATTGGGAGTTTTTACATGAGAATAGATACTTATCTCGATTTCCATAAAAATCAATTGGGGGTTGACGATGTAAATGACTCAATTTATTAATATTATGTTTGTTTTTTTAACGCCTCTTGACCTAGGTACAATATTTTTCGACCTAGTATCACCAAAAAACGTTTCATTGAAATCGGTATCACCGTGTCCGAAACCTCAGCTTGTAAGTACTTTTATGACAGAAAAAACAACTGTTAACCAAAGACTACAGGGCTCTTAAACTAGTCTACATTTTGCCATATATTTTATCCAGAAAGATTCAAGATATTTGTGAATTATTCTCTTTCATGATAATTGTATTTTATTTTTATATCAAATTCCAAAATGAAAAGATAACCCTCGGTGGAACACCTCTTGAATATGACATAATAAATATTAAATTATGTTATGTTCTCCATATGCCTATTGAAAATAACTTTCCTATTAAAGTATATAGTTTTTTGCGTTTTTTTATTAAGACACAGTATAGTGTATATGGATGAAAGGTGGTGCTCATGGCCGTTTTGAGATAAATAAGAAAATAAAATTATAACAAAGAGTTTATAACTGGAGATGAGAATAACGATTTCTGAAACGTTGGAAAATATCAAGCCTTGCAAAGAAAGATCAGAATGTAATTTATTTTAAAAATAAAATAAATTATTTAAGAAGAGAGCTGTTCAGAAAACACATTGAATAAATAAACTATTCTTTAAGTTCCAAGCTATTTTTCTGTAGCCCTATGAATAAATTCAATTTACTTTTATGTAACGTATTTCTGCTTCTTTTCTTGGATTTTTTTTTGTTTTTTTATCCCGTCGCTGTGCACTGCTAAAGAACGAAATCCGTTTCATGTCATTATTTTATTTATTGATTTTAACTTCTAATTTTATGAAGACAAAAAAAAAAAAAATATCAACGAGTAATTGAACGTTTTCTTTCAACTTTTTTAAAAACTAATTTTAACTAGGTTTTTAAAAAAATTTATATGGTATATGGAGGGAGAAAAAGGTTTATTGTAGAAATAAATTTTCATCACTCCTGATAAAGCACTGGACTTGCTGTATCTCCTCCATCCATGTTTATAATCTTAATTGTAATCCCCTACCCTCTAAAAATTGAACAAAAAAAAAAAAGCTTTCGTGCATATGTCATGAAAATAAAAGTTTTATCAATTACCGTATTTTGGCTAAGTAAATTTACATATGTATCTGATATAATTAATTATAATGAATGAGTCTGTAAATCACTCTATAAATAGTGGTCGAAGGTTTATTCAACACCATTATCAGATATCTGTCGTTTCTTTTATTATAGTAACAATCCGCTTTACTATGATGTATCCATATGGACAAGTGTTGTACTACAAATTTTTCAGACAAACTAGGATAGATCAGAGAAATTAAGGAAATATTTTTTTATAAATTTGGTACATCCCAATCTTAATCTAATTTTGGGTTCTTTAATAGCTTTAATAAGACCTGAGGTTTTCTGACTAAATTCGCCATCAACCTTCGTTTTTTTTTATTGTTTTTTTCAAATAATGTCAAGATTTTGATTTTTTTTGGCTTTTTATCTTTAAATAGAAAACTATTGGTTATCGAGAAGACCACTATGTACAAAATAAAATAAAAAATAATTGGCTAAGTTTTATGTTTGTAAAGTTTTCAACTGTTAACTCGATATAGCGCTATGTGAGAAGAGCCCATTCCTCAAATGTGGCATATTTTATGGCTCTTATGTTCATTACAATTTTCATCGAAACTACTTATGTTATTATTACAGCAATTTTTTTTTTGTAATTTCATAAATATACAAAACCACTTAAAAGTACATTTCTATTCGTTATATCTTTTTTTACACACCTCTTTCATATGAACTTCGGTTTATCAGGTTGCTTTTCAAGGTGCCGGTCACAAAGTCTGCATTGTATAGACTAGCGCCTAAACCGATGTACACATTTTAGTGAAACTTGGCTAGTCTTCTCCCCGATGTCCTTTCAATTTATGTACATAAGCATACTTCTCCGAAAAGAAGCTGGAAAAATTTAAGAGATATGGTAAAATTTTATTTTCGAATAGCTAAAAAAAAATTCTTTGTTGATGTTTTTATGCATATAATTATACGAAATTTCCCGAAGAACAAAAAAAGAATCGTTAAAATCGAATGATTTGTTGGCAAGATATGGTGTTCTAAATATTTTCATCATGTCCTACTTCAAAATTGATACCTATTTTTTTTTAATAATAATACTTTAGCAATCGAGATTGTTGTCTTTATGTCTTAGCAAATTACAAAAGATGAAGTATATATATACTATAGTCATGTGTATATATATATATATATATATATATATATATATATATATATATATATATATATATATATATGACAATTAAAATGTTTTACTGGCAAAATAGGACTTGCTTTTACAAGTCTTAAACCCAAAAAAAGCCAAAAAATATATATATATATATATAGTCAGACCAATATTAGCAATCATCTTTGATTTATTTTCCTTAAAATAAATTGCCCTACGGTGACAAGGAAAATAGTATTCCTTTGTACATATATTATCTACATATAAAAAGCTTATCCCACAATTAGAAATATATTTGCTAATCTGTATTCATAAGGATATATAAATAAATAAAAAAACTGTTCGACCCTTCCGCGAACTCCTCTTTTTTTTTTAAATTCCAAATATATCTTTAAATTAATCATGGGAGTTTTTTAAATATTAATTTAATATTGAACTAAATATAACAGAATTTTCGTTCTTAATTTGGAGCATTGTTGGCATCATTTGTTTGTGGAGTAATCTCTATATATGGCTTTGGAAACGTTCATTAATTCTAAAATAGTTTCTCCTCGAGGATTTGACACAGTGCATTTCTATTTTAGTAAGGTAAAGGAAGCAACGCTCCGATAATGGGGCTGTTCCATTTATGGTCTCCGTATAAAATAGGGCCCCGAGGAGTAAATTCATTTCACTTGTAATCTGTTTTCGTAATGCCGTCATTGAGGTAGAGGCATTGAGGTTCTGGAGTTACATTCAAATTTAAATTTCACTCGCTGTCTTCTTGTGGCTTCAGTGTGACTGTAATGAATGCAATATATTCACTACTTTATTTTCAGATATGTGAGGGGAAGTTGAATAATCCTGTTTTCTTACTTTTTTTTTCTTCCCTTCCTTGCCTTTTGGGTTTTATTATTTTTCGTGGATTAGGGGTGAGGGCGAGGTATTAATTCCAGAGTTAAGAGCCCCTTTGCACCAGGATTTGATCTCACAATCGTCTATCGGTTATCAGACTGCCGGGAAAAACGTATTTTGCACGCGGGTTATCCCGCATTACCCTTTTCTTACTTATAAATAGGAATACTTTTCGGTGGAAATTCGTTACGGCTGCGTAAAGCGAATGTTAATTCCTCCTTGCATCTCGGTGAACTCTCCATTCTTTTATTTGCTCTTGGATAAAAATATAACACTGTCATAAAATCTTGAGTTGTTTTGGAGAATCTTATTTGTTTGCACAGTAATTTATTTTAATAAAATGTAATCGATTGATGACTTAATATGAAGAGCGGTTGGGAAATAACATGATAGCAGTAGTAATATCAGCTACCAAATAGATTTTAACTTTTATCGATTTTTACTGTAATTCGAGTAATCGAAACTGATCTCACTGATTTTTTTTTGGCCATTATTCGTTATACAACCATGGAATATTTAATCTCAATTAACAGGTTTTGTGGTGAAACGGAGAGTTTTATAAAACGTATTTTATGAATGCCAATGTTTCGGCTCATTTTATAGGCAACGTTTCCCTTAATACTTGGGACAAATTAAGAATTGAAGAAAGAAACAGATTATTTCAAAAATTAGCAACGCATGATTATCCTCAAGTTATAAAAAATATTATTGCATATCAATTATTCGCGAAGGGTTATCGTGTATGAA